TTCAGGTTCAGCAGAAAAGAAAATTAAAAAGCTCCATTTCACTTTGGGTTCAAATGAGTCAATCTTTCAGTCAGTCAAGTATTAATTAAGACATGCTAGGAAATACAGGGGAGGTAAAAGACATCCTCTCTTGTCTCAACGATGATACCAGGGAAATAATTAGAGAATGATTTAAGAACGATGAAAAGAATTTTAAAAAGGCTTCATGTGGACTTTCTTTGATTTTCTATTATGGAAGGTCTGGAATCTCCAGTTCCTTTATACTTCTTTACTCTTTTCCCTTTCCTCTTTCCTTCCTTTTCTCTCTTTTCATCCCTAATTATCTTTCTCCAAAGGGTCCAGACTATACACTCTAAGAATAGTTAGTTCTCCTCATGTTACCCTTAGGATTAATCATGTGAAATTATGTCTGATTCCCTGAAAATTCCAGCTGTACTAAATGTGAGTGAATACAGTTTCTCCAGTCTGTTAGCAAGTCAACTTCCTCATATTTACCTCCTCAAGATCAAGGAAATTTCCTAATTTTTCTTCTTATATGCCAGATAACTTGTAGTCAAGAATTTTGCCAGCCTGGGCAACACAGCAAGAACCTATCTCTACAAAAATAAAAATTAAAAAAATTAGCCAAGTGTGGTAGCACATGCCAATAGTTCCAGTTACTCAGGAGGCTGAGGCAGGAGGATCACTTGAGCCCGGGAGTTTGAGGTTACAGTGATTGCACCACTGCACTCCAGCCCGGGTGACAGAGTGAGACTTTGTCTCTAAAATAAAAAACAAACCAAAAAAAAACCTGTCTCCACCACTAACCTGGTGTGGGTCTGGGGAACATTCACTTAAGTGTTTTTTCCATTTATTCTTCTGTAAACAAGGATATTACCATCTTTCTCAGAGGGCTAGGTGTTTTATTCACTGTGTTACATCATTTTACTCTCAGTATCTGGCACAGGGCCTGGTAGAAAGTGGACTGGCAGTAAGTACTTGCTGAATGGATGACTGAATGAATGCATTGCTGAGCAGAGTAAATGAAATAATGTGTGTGAAGCATGTTGTGTAAGTATATTTCACACAGTGGGTGCCTTAAAATTGCCTTGACAACTGTAAAACACTATATTTATTATTATACTATTCACATTGTGTGAAAGGTGAAAACATCCATTTGTGAATTATTTTGCTCTAATTAGAGTTTGATCAGCTTTTCACTGAATTGGCATAGAGAATGAGTTAATCAGCCCCTAGTCAATCAGGGCAGCCACGTTTGCCTCTCCCCTGCTTTCCTGCTAACTTTATTTCCATTCACTCCCAGTTGCTTCTCCCTCTCCCAGCCCTCCTGACCTCCAGGATCACACTTCTCAGGGAGCCTTGTGTTGTCCATCACTATCAATTTTCTCCTCTTCATTTCAGCTAGAATGCTCATTTGTTTTCTTTTGACAGTCCTCTTTTGACTTAAATACTTCAGGAGGCCAAAAATCTCAAAACGGAGGGTTGGCAAAAGTCTTATCACCTTTCACACAAACGGGAAATGATCTGTTGAATCAAAAAGCCACCATTTGCTGCGTTCTTACTAAGTGTGCAACTCTGTGTGTGGAATCAAGGGTTTACAGACATGGTCTCCATTCAACAACTCAAGAGGTAGGCTTTTCCTATGCCTACTCTACAGATGAGGAAACTGAGGCTGTGAGAGATTAAGCTATTCGCCCAAAGACATGGAGCTACTCAAGCACAGAAAGAGGTTTGACTCTAGTCCTCTCTGAGTCCAAAGATCCTGCTGTAACCACCATTCTCAGAATGCTGAGGACTTTAATTTCTGGATCTTCTAAGATGATGGGGTGTTCATCCAACTATTCATCCATCAGCATGTAAAAGCCGGCCACGTGCGTCACACCCTGTGGGTGCACTCTTGATTACGATGCCTTCCGTGACCTCAAGGAGCTCATGTTTTAATAGGACCAAACATGTTGAACAGAAGTGCAATACAACATCCCACATAATATGTATCACTTGCTGGGGCCCCAAGGCATGAAACTCCACTAAATAGGCGTAGCACTCACTGGCAGTCTGGGAACTATATCCAACCCCCAGGCACTTTTACTTTGTATTATTTTTCTGCTTCCTTCGGTTTCATATCAAATTCTCAATCTTTAGGACTCAATGTGGTCCTAAGATTTGGCCACACTAACCTCCCACATGGCCACAATCTGCTGGAGCTTTAAAAGGGCCTGTGTTCTCTCCATCCCTGACCCCACACCCCAGTCCCCATCCTGCCTGCTTCACCCAGTCCTGTTCACCCACCTGGTCCCTGGAAGCATTTTAAGCTCATCTCCCCTGGATTTAACTCACTCAGGAGTAGGGACTATGGTACATGTTCTCTGTGCTGTCATCTATGTAGAGAAGAGTCATGCAGGGGGCTTAAAAAATATAAATGAGGACAAAAGGCAAGCCTCACATAGCAGATTTAACCTCCAGTTTGATGGACTGATCCTGATCTGTGGTTAATCAGACAAATGATAAGGGTGAGGGATATGTGCAAGAGGAATTAATGCATATCAAAACGCCCCTGGGCACAATATAAACAGCTGGCCCAAGGGTGCAATTAAGAGAGGAGTCAGAGGACCCTCTCCTAGTCCCAGTTCAGTTGTCCTCCAGGCCTTTGACCTTGGGCAAAATCAGTTAAGCTTTCTGAGCCCTTTCCTCATCTGAGAAATGAGGTTATCACTCAACCTGGATATCTCTCAAGATTATTGTGAAGAACAGACAAGACACGTGGAAGAACACTGAGCAGGGAAAATTGCAATCTCAATGCAAGGTAGTGGTATTTTAGGGGATTATATTAAAAGGCTGATTAAAGCTCAAAGTAGAAAACTGAGCTTCTCTTACTGATGCAGTCCTCCACCCTCCTATCCCCTCTCTTCCCCGCAGTCTGTAGTTATTAGAAGCTACATTTCCAATGTGGAGAATTCATAGGGGAACTCTAATACCACTCACACTTCTGTTCGTCATCTGTATGTATATATTATATATATATACACACACACATGATCTGACCACATCCTGGTATTAGTGCTAATGAAACCTGTAGCCATGGTTACAGTGAACTATCTTGGTTATACAGTTCTCATTTTCATTTTTCAAAATAGTTTGGTAAAGGATTTTGGAGCCAATGTTTGTGGGTGTGGTAAAGTGTCTAGGTGAAGTTTTGTTTGTGGAGAGCCAGAGCCAAGGCTCTGAGGTCATCTGTGAGTTAGGAGCGGTTTAGCAGGGCGTTGCCTTTTCTGTTCCACAAATAAAGGGAAACCTCTGCTTCTGGCCGACTCCAATAACTGATGCTTAAGTGTTCAAACGTCATATCTTCTTGGAAGGAAAAGGTGTTTTTTGAAAAAGCATGAGAACAACCAAACACTTGTGTCATTCAGGGTCTCCCTGCCACACAGGTGGTAATTAAAACTTGCATAATTCTCTTTACTACTAGAGATGGGAACTTAAGAGTTCTGCAAACTTTGTGGCAATAACAGAATGACTGACATATTTCTTTTCGTTAGTGGTGGTGGGGGAGACATTTACAGGCTGGAATAGCTGAAAACTAACGGAGTGGCAAAAATATACAGTTATGCAACTCAAAAGCGATACAGATATGGTTCTATTTTCCTTTCCATTTTGTCCCTTCGTTTAATGTTAACAAAATTTCTGGGCAATTAAAAGCCAAAAGCTACCTTACTGCAATATTAAGTCTTAAAATGCAAAGATCAAATCACAGAGGGAGTGAGCATAAATATTCTCATTACAAATAACTCACCTCTGTGGAATGTTCAGTGTGGTGGATTTCAGATTTGCCAGGCTTTGGGTTGCAGCTTCCGCCTCAGAGGGTGGGCTGTGCAGAGGAGTCCATGTGTCTGAGGAGAAATCTTTATTTCCTCTCTGCATGGGCTTAAATCTGCATTCCTAATGTTGCAGGGAGTGTTCTTTTTTTATGGTTTTGATAAATAATGGTTGATGAATGCAGAGAACATATATGAGTGAGCTAAAATACTTATTGAATACCCATCCAGTGTCAAGTTAAGTAGCGTGCCTTTTTTTTTTTTGCTTTAGCACCTTCTTTCTTTGATACAGATGACATATGCTTAGTCTCATCACGTGCAGCTTTAGTTGCCTGCGTGCAGATATTGTTATCCCTAAGAACAGCCGTCACCTCTTCCCTGATGCCCTCAGCATGCCCAAATGTTTTCCTCTCCATCCTTGAAATGCCCTTCCCAAAGGAGATGGCAGGTATTGCAAATTCTTGAATTGGGAGTATGTATGGAAGAAACTGCTTAAGCTGGGGATTGCAGGGGGGTGTCCCATATTGCAGGGGGAACCCCCCTCGACACAGGGTTCCCTCAGCCTCATCCCTTCATTCCTTCCTGTCCACCACCTCTGCTCCATCCATGCCTGGAGACCTCAAGGCTTTGTGGGAGAACCTCTGGAAAGTACTTAAGGCCACTGGGAGCTGGTGGGGATGGTCAGAGAGGCCAGGGAACTCAGCCCTTGTCTCTGAGCTCTCCATGGTGTGGCCTCAGGGCTGAGCTATCTGCAGGCTGCCCACCAGACTTTAGGCTTTATCTCCCCTTAGCAGCCCAGACATATGTTTTATCAGACCAACCCTCAAAGTATCAGGGTCTTGAAGAAGTAACATGTTAGGTGGGAGTGCTTTGATAGAGCAAGATATTCTGAATGTTAGACTCTACACATGACAGTTAGAAGGCAGAAGATGCCCTAGGGATGGCAGTTGGCCTAGAGCAGCCAGAGAAGAAAGTGGATGTCCTTGTAGTGCCTCATAGGGGTAGGCAGTTATGCTTCTCAGTGGAGAATCTGTGGGGCCTAGGCCCCCTGTTCTGGCTTTGACTTTTATCTGATTTTACTTATTCACATTCTCGTAACTTGCCCTAGGAGCCAAATTCTTGGCTCAAGGGTAGTTTGAGTGCACAGGAAGCTAATGGATTGAGGAATGAGAAGCAGTTATGACTCACTCAGTGTGTGTCCTTGGGAAGGTCACTCAGCTGCTTTGAGTCTCAGTTTCTTCATCTCCAAAATGGGGAAAAATCTAGAAGAATACACAAGAAAATGATAGCATGTACTGCCCCTTTGGAGGGAAATTGGGGGCAGTGCTGGAAGGGAGACTGGCTTTTTCTCTCATTCCTTTGGTACCATTCTGAATGTCTGATCACATGTATACGCTTTCTAAATTAAACCAACAAGTGGAAGTGAGTACCTGCTCACAGGGTCCTTAGGTAAAAGCACAGAGTGCATGTAATGTGTGTCTGGGCGGTTAGGAACTGTACAAATATTTAGAGTCATAATTGGTATTATTCCCAGCAGTTGCAGGGGTATGGCAAAAAAAAAAAAAAAAAAAAAAGTCACTCCTCAATTCCGCCAGATAGTCAAAGTGGCCTGAAATTCTTGGGAAATTTGGTCCAATGTTGGGAGGTCTTCCTGCCTCCAACCCAGAATGGCTGGATGGAGACCACTCCTAAATCCTCTCCACAACCAGGCCAGCCCCTTCACCTACTTGTGTAGTGGAGCTGAGGCCGCTGCTGGGTAACTTGTGTCCTCCATGTGTACAAATGACCCCAGATTTCCAAGGGCTAGCCAGCATGTCCACTCTGCTGAGCAAGTTCTGACAAGCACATTCCATCCATTGCCAGGAGGCAGGGGACAGCACCTTCAGTGTGAGCAGAGGGAATGGTACCTACATTTGTGGCTGCCTTTTGCTTGGCCTCTGAGGCTGGGGAGAGCTTTGTGTAAAATGTGTGTGAGTCTCCCTTAGGTTGTTTACTAAGTCCCTATAATAAAAATAATGTTGCAAGCATATTGTTCTTTATACATGAAGAGGCTCATAGCACTAATAACAACTGTTTGCATCAATAAAATACGCCATTTGAATGATTTTTCCTGTAGTTGCATGTGGATTTCACGGTCAAGAAGTATTAGTTAAGTATTTACTAGTTAACTGACATAGTGCTGGAGGGGGAAAAAGAACTGTACCAACTGGTTCTTATCCTAAAAGTGTTTCTTCATGACCCTTAGAGCACTGAAGTCCTGCTCTGCTTAGCCAAGTGGTAGGGCAAGTCATAGAGCTTCATGAGCCTCAGGCTCCTGGTCTCTAAGATGGGAAGACAATGATGATAACATCAATTGCCCTCACTATTCAGTGTGGTTGTGAAAGTCAAATGATAATATATATGAGAGTTCTTTGTAAACTGAAAATGTCCTGCAAAGTTGAACTTTCAAAAATAATAGTAACTAAATACTAAACTAAATACCAGAAAGTGACAAAATGCAGATACTGTTAGAAAGGAGAGAGATCAATGCTGGCTTAGGTTTTATCAGAGCGGGGGACAGGGGGCGGGGGACATCATGGAGGAGAGGGAGGCTGTGCCAGCTCCTGGGCTGTGTGATTACATGGAGGGCTGGACATTCTGGTGGGGAAAAGGGTGAGTTGGGGTGAGCTACATAGGCTGGAAAAGCCAGAACAGAGGTACAGAGGCCAACAGGTACAGAGTTCGAGATGGGGATGGCAGCGAAGAAGCCTTCTAAGGAAGAGTGAGAACTGAGGTGGCACAGGCAAGCTTGGTGAGATCACAGGGGGCTTTGAAAGCCTAACATGGGGCTGGTGCAACAGCCTCAAGGAGGCCCTGAAAGTTGTGAGCAGAGGAGACCTAATAGCCTCACTGTTTCAGTGGCCACATTCTCTTACCTGACCTTGCTTGTGATGGAAAGTACACCCTACCAGAGCTCGGGATGATGCAGGATTAAGCTCCCAGCCATGGGCTCACTGGCAATCTGCCCTAACCAGTCAGGCAGAGTAATCACAGATACCACAATTAAAAAAAACTTTTACTAATAGCGTCCGTTCTCCCTTAGACAAAAATCTAATTATAACTGAAATGAAATATCACCAAACCAATCAGAAGGAAATGGCTATTTATCTCTTGATCCCTTGGGAATAGGGGGCAAGGGATAAAAACAGGATGCAATCAGTTCTCCCTCCTTCAAACTGGCACCCAGATGGGCTTGGGTTTATTTATGATTGGTGAAAGTCCGATCAATATCCTACACTGATAACTTAGTTTAGTTTTTTGAAGACTCCTGAAAACATTGCTTCCTTCAATCTACTGTAATTTGTAGAGGGGAGGGATCTCTTGCCCTATTTCACAGATGAATAATCTTTTCACAGTAAAAGTTTGTTCCAAATTTGTTCAAAATTGTAAAGCTGGTTAGTGGCCAATGGCACACAGGGCTCTAGTTTTCCACTTCCCCATGAGATGCTTTCTGCACTAAAGTAACTCCTAAAATGCAACGACGAGGGCAGCAAGCAGTGGCAACCAATCCCCTTCACAGTTTACAAAGCCTCCCATTTCTCAAACTCTGTGAGATATGGGGTTCCCCTCCAGCTTTGGATCCTTATGCAACCATAGCTGTCTCTCACCCCACCCCCATCCACTGCCCCCTACCCCATCTCCTGGCCTCTATTCAACATTGTTTCCCTGGGGAAACCTTCCTTGACCTCATTACAGGTCAGAGCCCCTGCTCTGTGCCCTTCGCCATATCTATATTGTCACTATCACCCATAATCTGTGGTAGGATAATTGTTTAATCATTGTTCTTGCTTTCTAGATGGAATCTGTTCCCATCATGGCATCCTCTGCATCTGGGACATATTTTGCCCTTGGGAAATATGTACTGAATTAACAAATGAACATGTTTATAGATGAAGAAGCTCTGAGGTTCACTGAAATTAAATGACTCGTCTAAGGTCTCATACCTAAGAAAAGATCATGTGCCAATTCCTCTACCTCTAAATAGCCAGTTTTCCTTCTGCTCTGCCACACTACTTTCTAGGTTCACACAGATCATGTTGGTCAGTTAGAAGGAGATACCCAAGAAAATAGTCTGCCAGTTGAAATGTCAATATTTTGGGTTTGGAGAGCTCTTTCAGCCTGGGCAGTATGCTCAAATACCAGGTATTCTTGGGTGCTCCTGAGTCTCAGATCTCTTTCGGAGACTGGCTACTTTTTAATCTCCAGTGAGGCTGTCAGGACTAAGAAACAGATGAGAGCAGCTAAGGCTGCTCATTGGAGCAGGACCAAGGAACACTGGTCTCAAATGGACATCAAGCTTTGTTTTCATGGGGTGCCATGTTGAATATAAAGATTACATCACTTGGAAGTGAGACTACCCCCATGTTGTTACAAAGCCCTGACTGGCTGTGTTTCTGACTTCTTGGTGTTCTTAATTTTTTACTTTTTAAAAAGATACAGGGTCTCACTCTGTTACCCAGGCTAGTGTGCAGTGGCACGATCACTGTAACCTTGAATTCCTGGGCTCAGGCAATCCTCCTGCCTCGGCCTCACAAGTAGCTGGGACTACAGGTGTGCACCACCACACCTGGCTAATTTATTATTATTATTATTATTTTGGTAGAGACAGGGTCTTCCTATGTTGCCCAGGCTGGTCTTGAACTCCTGGCCTCAAGTTATCCTCCTGCTTCAGCCTCCCAAAGTGCTGGGAGGACAGGCGTGAGATGCTGTGCTTGGCCTCTGTGTGTTCTTCAATTGATATGATTTCATTTGGTAATTTCTGGTTGCAAAGTCAACTGAGTAGAGTATGTGTGTACATAGGGGGGCTCACTACCTCACTGTTATTACTGTAAAAAGACCTCCCTGCTTTTTCCTGGAGGGAGGAACTTCCTTTGCTGGCTTTTTCTTCCTTCACTGATTCTGGGTTGTTGACACCAATGTGGCCGAGGAAGCCAAGAATTTCCATTTCCATTCTCTGCGGTACAGCAGCAAATTATTTAATTCAACTCACATTTGTTGAGTACCTACTATGTGCATGAAGAACTTCCCTCTCTTCTAAGACTTTCCCAGATAATGCTGCCTAGTGAGAAGTAGAAAACTTGCTAGCTATCTGGGTAAGGAAATCAGAATTGAACTTTTCTTCTTTTGATAGAGACTTTAGGAATAAAGTCAAGGAATTTATTTTTTTTGTTGGGGAACTGGGCAAGCACAGGCAAAGTACCATAAGGCATGACTGGTTCAGTGTCCCACGGGAAATTCAAACAAATGCTTATGGAAGCAGCAAGGAGGGAGCCGTTAATTCCAATGAGGAATCCAGGGCAGACTTCGATGAGGGTGTGATTTGAGTTGGCGCCTACAAGGTGCATAGATGGGAAAGAAAGGTGATTCCAGGCTGCTCAAGAAACTGAGCTGGCTCAGGGAAAGAATCCAGTCAAAGTGGCCCATGTTCCAACTCAGCTCTAGAGGCCTCCAACCTCCCGATGTTATGGCCGCAACGCTAAAACAGCTCGCTCCACCTGACCCCCTCTCCCAGGGTCTTCTCGCAGCCACTGCTTTAATTGCCATGGCATTCCAGGGACCAGCCCAGCACCTGAAGGGGATTCTTCAAGGTTCTGGCCCTAGGAGGAGGCTGCTCCTGATGTTCTCTCCCTCCATACCTCATAACATGTTATGACTTGAGTGTCCGGGGTTAGGGCCGTGGACAGGAGTGACTGATGACATACTGGGCTTAAGGACATTCAGGGCTACAATTTCAAATTGTTTTCACATTTGACTATGAAGGCAGATTACTGTGTTAAGGAAACTTGAGTGTATAGTGAGTTTTTTGCCTCCTCCCTGTCCCTCACCGTTACCCCAACCACATTTTATCTCTTTATACAGCATATCCTTATATTTGATGATAATTCTGACTTCAAATCGGGTGTCACAAGGCCCTGGGTAACCAAAGCCAGTTCCACTTGGCTCACATTCAAAATGATTCCTCTTTCCCTGCCTCCTCCCCCACACACAGCCTGCCAACATTTAGCACAAAGTTTGTGGAAACCAGATGACATTTTGCCCTAAGAGTCAAGCCTAGATCGGCCCATGGTCAGAGGTTGTACAACGGAAGCCCAGGAGGCAGCTGCCACCAGAGAGTGGATTGTGTTTGATCTGCAGCTCTCAGTCTATGCTCTCACCCAGCTTGTGTGACCCTCTCAGATGGACTAGCCTGGGTCAAAGCCTGGTCCCACCACACACTGGCTTC